GGGGCAGCCGCATGCATCATGGACGTACGAGCGACATCCATGACCATGCCAATGCGGCGCTCAGCAATCCCATTTTGCTGTCGGTGAGTTCGGAAGCGTGAAGGTCTGGCGGATCCCCCGTGCACGACAGTAGTCTCGCAGAAGGCGAGAAGAGAACTCTCCGCCTCTGTCAGAGTGCAGACGCAGAACAGGAAAGTCCGAGCCGAAGCTCGTCCTGAGCTGGAGACGAGCCTCGCGGATCCAGTCGATCAGCACCTCAGTGACCGCACCCTTGCTGCGCAAGGGGAGGACTGTGGTGTAACGCGAGTAGTCGTCAACCACCAACAGGAAGTAGCGCTCGTAACCCTGCCCACGGACGGGGGCTGGGCCCCACACATCCATGTGAAGCGTCTGCAGGGGAGCCTCTGTCGGGGGGAAGTGGGAGGAGTGAGGAGTAGCCCGGAGGCGACCCTCGACACAGGGGACACAGGAAGGTCCTGGCCCGGAGGGGAGAGGAGGGAGAGACTGGGGAAGACCAGAGACAAGGACACGGGAAGCCATGCTCCGAAGACGGGGCAAGGAGGGGTGGCCAAGACGGTGGTGCCACAGGAGAGTCTCGTGAGACAGGAGGCGACAAGAACAGGGGGCAGACTCAGGACCTGACCTGGAAGCAGCAGCAAACACCTGACCTGACGCAGCTACCCGACCAGACGCAGGGACAGGAGGAGACGAAGTGGTCAGGGTGTAGAGACTCGACCCCGGCCGACGCGAAAAGGTGGCCAGGTGTCGGCCTGTGTCTGCGTCCGTGCAGTGGGTCACCCGTTGCCTCGCAGGAGTGAACTGGTGAACCCCCGCATCCTGTAGGTCCGCACCACTCACCAAGTTCGTAGAGAACGAGGGAAGGTACAGACCAGACAGGGTGCCCGAAGGGGCAGCCGGACACGGGAGGACAGTGGAGAAGTGAGACAGGACAGGACCCCCAGAGGGGTCAGCAAGGGAGACCGCAACCGGCCGGCCAAGAGGCGTAAGGGTAGTGCGGTATCGAAAGAAGGAGCGAGAAGCCCCAGAGTCAAGTGTGAAAGTGAGGGAGGACGAGGGCGACACAGTACCTGAGAGCGCAGTCTCACCAGCACCTGAGAGCGCAGTCTCACTAGTACCTGAGAGCGCAGACGCACTAGCACCTAGAGCAGCAGCCTCACAAGTACCTAGCGCAGCAGTACCAATGCCCGGGTCGGGCTGGAAACACCGGTAACCCTCATTCTCCTCACTATAAGTCACAGCATACATAGCAGAAAGGATAGCATCAAAATCAAGATCAAAGATCGCTACACCAGCCCTAAGGAGCTCATCCCAGTGAGGGATCTCACTAGCCCCGGGGAACTGCTGACGCCAAGCGTCTGTGAGGCGGCCAAAGCAGCGCTGGGTGGAGTGGGCACCCCCACACTGCTCACCCGCGCGGTCGCCGGAACGAAGAACGTAGGCGCAGGGACCAGTACCCCCACCCCTCTGACGCGCAGCGTACCACTCACGAAGCTGCTGAGGCGGAGGGATGTCCCGCGAACGCTGCTGCTGCTGCCGCTGCGAGCGCTGGGCACCACCACCGCCGCTCCGCTGCTGTGTACCACCACGACCAGCTCCACCTCCTCCACCACCACCGCCTCCTCCGCCGCCGCCTCCACTGCCTCCACCTCCACCGCCTCCGCTCCCGCTGCTGCCTCCACCACCACCGCTGGCACTACCACTACCGTCTCCGCCGCTGCTGCCACCACCACCACCACCACCACCACTACTCCCGCCGCCACCCCCACTCCCTCCGCCGCCTCCGCCGCCACCGCCACCGCCCCCTCCAGCTCCGCCCGCGCCCTTGCCCCCCTTGCCCTTGCTAGAGCGACGTCTCCCACTAGGGGCAGACGCCGCGCCGACCGACTCAAGACCAAGCAGGTCGGCCGCAGCAGCAGAGGCAACAGAGGGCAGCAAGGGGGAAGGAGAGCACCCCTCAAAGATGGGGGTGCGAGGGTCACCACGAGAGGCACCTACAGCGACTATGCTCTTCTCCGCTGCGAGGAGGGCCTTCTCGAGGAGGTCGACGGTGAGAGTGGTGGGACAGACTGCGAGAAAGTGGTCCCTGACTACGCGGAGGGAGTCAGGGAGGCGCGCGACTACGTAGTAGAGAGTGATGTACATGGGGGGGGGGTTCTTAGCGCAGAACTCAGCAGGAAGGGCGGCGCGGTAGCGAGTGTCACTAGTGCGGAGGTGCGTAATGAGGTCAGTGACAGTGGGAAAGACAGAGAGGTCAGGAAAGAGGTAGGGAAGCATGAGACGGCTCAGTGCAGTAGTGGCAGGGGAGGAGTAGCGCGCAACTACAGCGTCGTACAAGGTCTGAGCACTCTTGTACTGACTAAAGTGCGCACGCTCAGAGGTAGGGAGGTGGCGACGCACAGCAAGACGTGCAGCAGCATCGCGGGTGGCCCACTGAGAGCGGACAGTGGGATCAGCATCGGCAGCAGGAGCAGGAGAGGCGCCAGTGGTGAGGTCAAAGAGAGAAAGGCTGTCAGCTCTGTCGCACTGTAAGAAAAGCTGCAGGTCGTCTAGCCAGACCTCAAAATCAATGGCTCGACCCTCGGCGTCAAAGGCTAGGACACTAGGGGTGGCCATGATGACGACAGCGAAGCAGTGCAAGCAGTAGGGAAAGAGGGCGCAGTGACAGAGGGACTGTGCTCACCAGGCAGGGCAAGTCGTGCAGCTCAGCAGAAAGGCGGATCGACTCCCGGTCAGCTCGGTAGCTGTGGGGCGGCTCGGGTGCTGCTGGGCGGCTCGGCCGCTGCTGGGCGGTCCGGCTGCTGCTGGGCGGCTCGGCTGCGGCTGGGCGGTCCGGCTGCTGCTGGGCGGCCCGGCTGCTGCTGGGCGGTCCGGCTGCTGCTGGGCGGCTCGGCTGCTGCTGGGCGGCTCGGCTGCTGCTGGGCGGGCCGGCTGCAGTGCAGCGGCGGGGCCTGGACAGAGGCCGGCGGGGCCGGGACAGGTGCAGTGGCGGGCCGGGAAAGGTGCAGCGGCGGGCCGGGACAGGTGCAGCGGTGGGCCGGGACAGGTGCAGTGGCGGGCCGGGACAGGGGACGGCGGGGCCGGGTGTGCAGTGGCGGGGCCGTCAGGGTGCAGCGGCGGGCCGTCAGCAGGTACAACGGCGGGCCGTCAGGGTGCAGCGGCGGGCCGTCAAAAGGTGCAGCGGCGGGCCGTCAAAAGGTGCAGCGGCGGGCCGTCAGGGCTCAGCGGCGGGCCGGGAAGGTGCAGCGGCGAGGCCGGGAGAGGGGACGGCGGGGCCGTGACAGGAAACGGCGGGGCCGGCAGAATGCAGCGGCGGGCCGTCAAAAAAGGGACGGCGGGGCCGTCAAAAACGGGGCCCGCGGCCGCGACGAAGCGGCCGCGTGGCCGATTCGAGGGCGGCGGGGCACAGCCGGGCCGAGAGGGCGGCGCGGCGCGGCCGTAAAGCCCGCGCGACGTGGGCCCGAGCCGCGCGCGCTAAAAAAAAAATTTCGCGCGCTACTCGCGGGGGGCCCACAAAGGCAGCGGGAAATGCACTAAGGGGGGAGGGGGGGAGCGCGCCTCGGGGAGAGTAGGGCGCTCCGGGCAGAGAGAATATCGAGGGTGGGCCCAAAAAAAATCGGTCCTTAAGAGGGACCCGCTCTATACCATGTGATGATAGGTAAACAGGAATGAAATGACTAAGTCAGAAATTGGTACAAATGGGAAACCTAATTGTGTTGTACCCCTTATGGGATACCCCACTGTAGCCTACACAAACAGGTAAGCTATATGTTCTGACAGCGACTTCGCCAACCCCATCGCGCAACAGACGCGTCGCAAGTCACATTTGGAACGGTCAGGAATGCAAATTCACCTGCCCGCACTTAAAACGTCGTTAAGAGCCAAGTCTCGAGCGCACGGTTTCCACAAAAAATATCATAACCAGTACCTTCAGAAAGTACTGACGCTCCTGAGTATCAACCGTAAACGGCCATAACATAAAACGAACCGCGTGGCTATTGGTCAATTTCCCAACGTCTAAAATTGTAACGTTAATTGTAAGTTCATACCACATTAAACAGTACAAGGAAAACGTTACAAAATAAATAAAGAAAAACTGCCTGTTATCTCATAACGGTACATCTCATATGAAGGTGATCGGTGAACATCGCAACCGTCAGATCAAAGCAACCACAAACAGTTATACATCCGAGGGTAGTTTACGTGCTGCATTCGGATTGAGCCGAAGAGATCTCGCTTGCAAGGTGGGCCGTTGATCCGAGAAGATCGAACGCCACATAACAAAATTGAAATCACACCCCCCAGGTCATTTACGTGCTCCTCGCAACGATGCCCCAACCAGTGCGCCGCGAACCATCTCACGAATCACAATTTTGATCTTGACCGTTGCTCAAATCGCTTGGAATTTCATCCGTCGATCAAGCGCCTGCACATTCCACGAAGCAACCAAAGAGATTTTCTCGAACACGCAATTGGCAAAACAGGGTTCATCGGCATCGCAAAATTGCCGAAGTGCCCCCACAAACTGGCACAGCATGTATACAACTATTTATGACGCTCTGAAACCATCGAGAAAAGTGCGTCAGTAGGCTAGACCATCTACAACAGGCTCAAGATTTTTGCGATGAATGGACTAGTCGAACTGATGTTGGTGCAGACGGAAGGGTAGTTGGAACTCATTTTTCCTCGTTGACTGACTCGTAAGTGTTGACCAGCGCCGCTAATCACCTTTCCTTTCCATTTGCCCGCGCATTCGGTTCGTTCTGGTTTGTATCTCGCGTCATTTCTGAAACGTAAAAAATCAGCCGTTATCAATTCGTTATAACGTTGCAAGCCGGGTAGTGGTGGAAGAAGCATGCCACTTCCAGAGTGGGAAAATCGACGACTGAGGATATTCGGGTTTGAGCGGCTTGGGCAGATAGTAAAAGCAATAAAACTAAGTTCGATTTTGATTAATATAGAATGTACAAGAAGGTACTAATTTAAGCACCGGGGGTGAAGTTGGTGGCATAGGCCCACGCATTGTTCACGTTGGGGTCAGCCAGGTGGTCGGACAGGTTCTCAAGGGGACCCTTTCCGGTAACAATAGCCTGGACGAAGAAGCCAAACATGGACACCATGGCGAGGCGGCCGTTCTTCAGCTCCTTCACCTTCAGCTCAGCAAGAGCGTCGGGATCGTCAGCAAGACCCAGGGGGTCGAAGGCACCGCCGGGGTACAGAGGGGTCCTCAACCTCTTGGAAGCCCTCGAGGCCACCCACGCGGTAGCTCTCAACGGCACCCATCAAGATGACCTGGGTGGCCCAGATGGCCAGGATGGACTGGGCGTGGATCAGGCTGGGGTTGCCGAGGTAGTCAAGGCCACCCTCCGAGAAGATCTGAGCGCCGGCCTTGAACCACACGGCCTCGCCGAAGTTCATGCCGTTGCCAGCGAGGAGCTCGGGGGTGAGGCAGCCGAGCGCACCGAGAAGAGCCCACCGGGCGTGGATCACCTCCAGCTCGCGATTCTTGGCGAAGGTCTCGGGGTCAGCGGACAGACCCGCGGTGTCCCAGCCGTAGTCGCCGGGGTACTCGCCGGTGAGGTACGACGGGGGGGGAGCTGAAGGGGCCCAGGAACAGGTTGCGGTCGGGGCCATAGAACGCGCTGCTGGAGGAGGCCTTAGCGGTCTTCCTCATGGTAACGCGGGCCTCGACATTGTTCACCTTGGCGGCGAGCTCAGCGCTCTGGCCGACGAAGGTGGAGGGGAGCACGGCAGCGTTGGCGAGGGCAGCCATGATGTTCAAATGAAGTTATGGAATTGAAGATTAGCGATCGAAACTGCTGAGCTTGAGAAAATGTGGTGCGCGGTCGGTACTTATTCTTGAATTTTGACGCGAGTGATTGGGTTGTGGAAGGGGGAAGGTCATGGAGCACAAACGAGTTGTACACTGAAAAACCGTTCCGAACCGAAATTAAACGAGCAGGACCTCATGCTTCCCGCTGGTCCTCCTACCCACACGAAGCGTCAGGCCCTGGCAAACGGCGTAGTCCACTCAGAGGGTCAGGGCAGCAAGGTCAGGCTGGTTCGGATTGGTTGTGACGGATGCTGATCCATTTTATGACCAATGGAGCATGCCGAAAATGATTGGGGAATGCCGTTCCGTTGTTGTCGATTGTTGAGAATCTTGCGGGTTATTCTCGTTTCAGTAGTCCTCTCAAGCACATAACGCTGAATGTACCACCGTTTGATATCCTAGAGATAGAATGCACCTTTTGGGTATTTCAGTTCTCTTGAAACCGTCATAATTTTAGGGGCCCCTGTTTATTTTTGCGTCATTTTTACTGAATTTTTAGACTTTTCATATGTTTGAAAACCAGAATTCTCGCCACACTTGTTGATCACCAGCTCGCTACTGTCCAAATGGATTTTTTTCTATCCAAGTGCTCATTCAGACTAATTAATAACAATTCATCATAGTGCCTAATGACGAGGAATCTACAAACTGCTGCAATTGCAGGACCCCACACTCCTCATCCTTTCTTTCCGTCCCGTTCACTAGTTTCACCAGCAAGTATCATTACCGTACCTACCAGGCATTCACCGTTGCGCTATGCATTTAATTTGACATTTTTTAGTCTAGTCAAGCCGTACAGCTTTTTCGGCATGCCTGTCGCGGAGAGTACTGCGGAACCCGAGGGTTCAGACGGCGACCATTCAGTGAGGAGGAATCCAGCGGGAGTTGTGGGGAGTGCTGAAATGGGAGGTCCGCTGTCGGGTGTGGGAGGAACGGCAGACGGTGCGCACGCGCTCCCGCATGTCGCGGCTGAAATCACGGATCCACGTGACGGAGTCTCGTTGGATGCGGACGAGGGCGACGGCGCCACGTGTACGAAACTGGACACAGAGGAAGAGATGAAATCTCTGTCCCGCGTGATCGCTGCTTATTTGAAGTGAGTGATTATGTGATGCCTCTATTGGTGCATGCAATAACGGGTGCATCAGTGGATTCAGCTGGACACCGAGGAGGAGATAAACTCCCTTTCCCGCGTGATCGCTGCGTATATGAAATAAGTGATCATGTGACTGTTGCAATAACGGGTACAGGAGAGGATGGGAATAGTGGAGCGCGAGGGGAGAGATGAAATCCCTGCACATGTGATGCAATCACCCGCGATTACCCATTTAGGCGATTTTATAATCTGACTTCTTTCTGTGCATTCATGAGTCAATCATTGAAGTACAGTAATCTTATGAATCAGATCCAGTCATGGGATTAATTTGGATCCTGCGGGTACAGAGTTGAGCTCTGCTGAGTGGACGGTGCAACGGGTGGGAGGCAAGCAATCCTATGCCTGATTCTACGTCAGAACATTTCTCCCTGCTTTGCGTATCTTGCCCCCCTTCGCAACTATCTCTTTGCTGCTGAGTGGATGGTGCAACAGTGGGTGCAAGCCTATGCCTGATTCTATGTGAGAACATTGCTCCCTGCTTTCCTTATCACTCCACTCCCCCCTTCGCAGCTACCCCTTTGCTGCTGAGTGGACAGTGCAGCGTTGGGAGCGAGCCTATGCCAGGCTGCCGCCACGTCAGCAGGGTGGGGATTCGTTGATGCCTCTTTCCCACTCCGCCTTATGCTGTGTTCCTTTTCATTCGCTCGTCCTCCCATCGTCCTTCCCTCTTCTCACTCACTTCTCTCGCTCTCCCCGTCACACCGCTCCTGACACTCTCCCTTCACTCCTCCCTTCTGTTGCCCATAGTTTCATGCATTTCTCACACCCCCTTACACTCTCCTTAGGTAATTTCACCCTATGGCAATATTTCCATGCTTCAGTGTCTAATGTCTAAAGAGACACTCGATTCTCTCTGTTTGCCTGTGCTGCAGGCTCTGCTGTCGCACCTGCCAGCCAAGTATGCCTCCATTCGCATGTGAGTAAATGAGTTCACCTGTGGTTCTGCCCCGGCCAGTAAAGGGTTCGCTATGGATAGGGGGAGCGGGGTGACAAGCACACGGGCTCTGCTGTCGCACCTACCCAGCCAAGTATGCCTCCATTCGCATGTGAGTGGATTCACTTTTGGTGCTGCTTGGGTCACCAGCGTGATGCTGTGAGAGGAAAGGGGTTAGGAGGAGGAGGGACGGGAGAGACTGGGGGCCGGTCACACAAGCTCTGCTGTCGCACCTTCCAGCCAAATACACCTCCATGGACATGTGAGTGGATTGAACTCCGGTGCTGCTCAGGTCAGTTTCTGAGAAATCTCAAAAACCAGCTCCTGTCACACCTGCCAGCCAAGTATTGCCTCCATGGACATGTGAGTGGATTGAACTCCGGTGCTGCTCGGGTCGCTAAGGGACTGCTGTGAGTGAGACGGGGTTGGAGGGACGGAGGGGGGAGGGGCGGGGAGGGGGGGAAGAGGGGGGTACCTGCTGCTGCACATATTCCCATTGCGCACATTGCTGCCAGTGCCGTTATTCCACATCCAGGGATTTTTTTTTAGAATTCTAAAAAAATCCCTGAGAATTCAAAAACAATCCCTGCAACGGGGGGAGGGGGGAGAGAGGGGGGGCGCATGCTGCTGCACATATTCCCATTGCGCACAAGTGCTGCCAGTGCTGTTATTCCACATCCATGCATTCCCATGTCTCCCCAGTAGTACCCACGTTATTCCGCTCTTTTAACATGCTCTCGCCCATCCCATCCTTTGTCTTACCTGTTCACTTCTCGCTTGCCCACTTAGCATAATGCTTCTGCCAGTCTATCCCTCCTCGCCCCCCTCCAACCCTCCCTCCAGGCGCATTGCACACAATTCCCGCTTTTTCACGGAAATGCTGCAACAAGTACTCCAGTCTCCCTTTCAGCATAACTCTGAACATACTTATGCACATCAACTCATCCCTCTTTTTCCTCACCCTCTTCCCTCAGGCGCATAGCCCACAATGCCCGCTTCTTCACGGAAATGGTGTGACTTTTGAGAATTCTCAAAAGTCGCACCAGCATTGCCCACAATGCCCACTTCTTCACGAAATGGTGTGACTTTTGAGAATTCTCAAAAGTCGCACCAGCATTGCCCACAATGCCCGCTTCCTCACGGACATGGTGCAAGCAACGCGTTTGAGCCTTTGCATCCCCCTCACTCACAGCCCTCCTTACCTCCCCTAACCCCTCCCCCCCCTCCCTCCAGGCGTAATAGCCCACAATGCCCGCTTCTCACAGAAATGCTGCAAGCGTTTGAGCCGCCTTTCCCCTCCCCCTCAGTCTTCCATGGGTCATGATGGGGATGCTTGTCAACATAGCCATGCCCATACGCATGACCCCACCCATACGCATGACCATGCCCATTCCCATGCTCACTCACACTCTGACCAGCATCATTACTATCAGCAGCCTGCACACCCCGAGCAGCAACAACAGCAGCAACAGCAGCAGCAGCAGCAGCAGCTGTGTGTAACGAAGATTTCTCAGTCAGGGGTCTTATACCCTGCGCCAGAAACTGTCAGGAACCTTCCTGTAATGGATGAGTCCATGGAGATGGACGGTCAACAGCACCTGATTGAAAACGGTGATGAGGGGAGTGGAGGAAAGGGGAAGAACAGCACGCATGACAATGCTACTGTGCCTTTTGAGTCGACTCAAACGTCGCCTCGTCAGCAACAGTTCTATTCCTGCTACTCGTGAGGTGAGGAGAGCAGCTCACGAAAGGAGGGCCAACTGCATTGGTTCCAGCAGCAGCAACCCAGCATCTGTCACACGAGCTTTCACATGATGTAACCCGAGTTGTAACTCAGGGTGTAACTCCTGCAGCAGCTCCGAGTCAACAATCCCCAGGTGTACCTGGGTTATTTACCCATGTGCCTCGGGTGTATCCCCCTCCCTGGTTCCCCCTTCCCTCGGGTATCTTCCGGACGTGCCTCCTGCTGACGTGGACAAGGTTCGGTGCGTGCTTCGGAACATAGTTCGGGATTGGGCGGCGGAGGGCGTGGCAGAGCGAGAACAGTGCTATGCTCCCATCTTGAGGGAGCTTCGTAGGAAGTTTCCTGAGCTGAGGAAAGCAGATGGGAACAGCAGCCCAGGACAACAAGCAACTTCAGAGCAGAATGAGAAGCAGCAGGAACAGCAGAAGCAGCAGCAGGAACAGCAGGGGCAGCAGCAGGAACAGCAGAAGCAGCAGCAGGAACAGCAGAAGCAGCAGCAGGAACAGCAGAAGCAGCAGCAGGAACAGCAGGGGCAGCAGCAGGATTCCCTTCACCCGTCCCATCCTCACACCCCTACCTGCCTGGTTCCAGGAGCAGGCTTAGGGCGACTTGCCCTAGAAATTTCTTGCCTGGGATTCGAAACCCAAGGGAACGATTTTTCATATTACATCCTCATCTGCTCGGGTTTTCTCCTCAATTACCCCGAGTTTTCTGGGCAGTTCTGCATCTTTCCCTGGATCCTCTCCAGCTCGAATAACCTGACTGACGAGGATCAGCTTCGGCCTGTGCTTGTCCCGGACCTGGTGCCGAGCCTAGCGGGAATCACCGATGGATTCTCCATGTGCGCAGGCGATTTTGTGGAGGTTTACAGTCACCCAGAGCAGAGAGGTAGGCTTGGGGGCATCCGAAGCTGAAAGGTAAGCTTGGAGTGTAGGTTTGGAGTCATGCAGAGCAGAGAGTTAGACTA